AGAGTGAGGACCTCAAGCTTTTAACCAGTGGTGTCTGGAGTCACCTGAGGCTACCCCCACCCCGACGCCGTGAGTACATGGTGGGCCCACGGCCAATACAACAAGAACAGAGAGATGCCAAATATTTGTGATTTGTTTTCATGAAATTCAGGAGGAAAAATATCGGAAATTACGCTGCCAATTCGAACTTATACAAACCCATTTCTAAATAAATCATATACTATGGTTCACTTCATCTACTTCATCGTTGAAATTAGAGCCCACTTCATTATCATCTGCCAAATTGATGATAAATCGACTTTGACCGTTCAGATGGGTAGCACACAGTTTCTATATCTAATGTTCTTCGAATTTCGAAACTTCATTCACTTTCTCAAGCCAATCGGCAGCACTGATATTTTCCACTCATGTGGTTTATTAAAGATATCTCCAGGGTCGAAATTTGGGAACATATTTTTTCTACGGATTCTTTTCTTCAATCGTCTCCAAATTTATTCTCTAGGATTGAAAATACAAAAATATGGGGGCAATCTGAGAGCTGTATATAATATGTTTGTTTGGGAAATACATCTAGGACATATACTTTCTTGGACTCTTTAACGTTCAAAACCTCAAGTAAATGGGCTTTGGTGGTTTTTTCTTCAAAGAATATATCATGGGTGGGTGAAAAATCTATTCTAGTAAGACTGGATATCAAATCCGTCCCTGACAATCGAGCCGATATCTGACTAATCAGTGGCTATAGTCTAATTTGGCTGTAGGAAAGACATTGGCAATGTTATGGTTTGAAACCAAACTATTAAATATTCAGCACAGTTCACGAGAAGCTACGTCGAAAAGTCAATCGCATTTTTTTTTTAATTTGAAGAAAGAAATCGCATCAACCATCAAGGTTATTAGCGATATGAAATAACATCAAGATATTTCAATGATTTGTATAAAGTAGGTTGAATTTTGTTGTATATGCCTATGTCGTTGAGAAATGCCAATAGTTGCTGTGAGTCACACAAGACCTAATATATCTTTCAAATCCTTTGGCAGATGGTGGTTCAGTCTTTCAAGAAAATGAAGGGGGTATTCCACTAATATACAGTGTGTCTGTAAAAGGTCTTTACAAAGACATACCATATATTCCTTAGACCAAAATAAGTCGATTTTAGTAAAATTACCTTAGTACAAAGATGCATCGTTTGGGCTCCAGAGGGCCTTGAAATTACAATTTTCAAATTGTTTTTCCCATTCAACTTTAAAACGACTTAGGCGATTTTGAAAAAATGGTGTTAAAATTTTGACCGATAATAATACATATAGGCGTAGAACTTGATTTTTTAAATAATTGCACCTTTGACAATTTTACGCCAATGGAAGAAAAGGAGTTTGAGTATAAAATTCAGATTGCGCAACTCATTTACTTTAAAAAAGGTACTCTTGATTAGGGGTGGAAAAATTATTGATATTATCGATAATATCGATATTATCTATAATATCGATATTATCGATATATCGATATATTATCGATATATTATCGATATATTATCGATATATTATCGATATATTATCGATATATCATCGATATATTATCGATATATTATCGATATATTATCGATATATTATCGATATATTATCGATATTATCGATATTATCGATATTATCGATATTATCGATGATATCGATATCATATGATAATATTGATAATATCGATAAATCGATAATATCGATACATTATGAATATCGATGATCGATATTTCAAAATCATTATCGCATACCCCTACTCTTGATAAGACTCGATTGCTCTCGGGTGTACGAGTGATGTGCTCGTGTGTCAGTCTGGAATGACCTAGCCTGAGTCTGGTCACTATAACTTGGTGATTTCTTTTCTTCAGAACATATTCCCTAGGACGTACGGATGGTTTAACTCCTGCTAGTTTTGACAACGAAAGGTCCCATGGAGATTGCAATGCTGTGATGATGGCATATTTGAAAGTTTGCTTCAGATCTGTGTGAACTCTTTTCTCGCCTGATAGTGTTGCTTGGTTTGATGCATCGCCTGCTAGACTGTCAGCTCTCTCGTTCCCTATGATGCCAACATGAGGGGGTACCCACATCAAACTACAGCCGGACCCGAGCGTTTGCTTTCAACGAGGTCAGAAGCATCGCAAGTATCAATTACGTTCGCAATATTGATTAACATTGATTAACATGAATTAATACCTAACTAAAATGAATATGAGTGGAGTAACCACCCAATGTGGTTCACTTGACAGATTATTATAATAACATGAATAGGTAGATTGAAAGATGGCCTCAGACTACTTCACTTCGTTACAATTTGTGTTGACATGCATCATGTCAACAGAGAGAACTTATTTTTTTTGGTCCTAGGAGTTCAACTTCAGCTCCTACGGAATAAAAGTGTTGCCTAGCAACATAGGTATCAGAGACATTCACTGCAAGAGCTAATTTTGGAATTGAAATAGACGCTTTTTAAGTCTCTTACAAAAAGACGGTATTTTTTGCTACCGGTGAAAGAATCGCAGAATTGTCAAACTTGATTGATGGGATGTGATATTTTTTTGAAATTCAATGAGAAAAAAATGAATTAGTTGAGATTTAGGATTATTAATACCTAGTATAACCTTTTGTGAAAGTGAAACTCGAAACTATATCCTTTCCACTCTCAATGAGAATGTGAAAAATGTCATAAGTCATAGATTAAAGACTTCGTCAATCTATGCATGAGGTTTTGAGTAATATTTCCCTATCTCCCCTATAGGAAAAAGGGATGAGCAGTGAGCACGTAAAGTTTGTCGGTTCAACGTGAAAGAGACCTGCCTGTCATAAGAATCATCTCGTTATTCATGTTGTATTCTTCAAGTTTCTTATATCTATTTGTTAGACATACATAAATCCAATGATTCATTGTCTACATCAACAAGTAAAGAGGAAAAACTCGTGGTAATTATTATCTGAAAGTAGACAAATGATTTTAGTACAAATGATACCAGTTGCGGTTAATACTCTTTCAGATTCTACGTTAGTTGGTGGTATTATTGTTGAAGGATCATATGAAAGCCGAACATACGTACCGCTGATATCACTATATTCGAGAAGAGCCTTCCCTACCTATTTATCTACAAATGATTGAATGTTTATTATTTTGGCAGACGAATCGTGTTTTTCGAATATTCATTGATTCGCGCATGACATCAAATTGTGATGTTGTATGATTTACAAAAAATGCAGCAAGAGACGAAGGAATCCGATTGGTACATTAGGATTCAAAATTAAGTATACCTACTATAGTCACTCACATATAGTTTTTGTTTTGAAATTTGGTAAATTCTGTGATTTCTCATCGGAATTCCTTCTGCAATAGAAGCTTATAAAAATACCCAAGAAATTTTCGAAAGTATGCAAGAAGATTGGATTCATCGAGGGATTTATACAAGGTATGACATGCTGACGAAATATGATCGTGTGTGTTGTAGACATATTCAATCTATCAGCAGTATAAGCTGCTATTGCAGAAGTGGCAGAAGGAATTTCAATAAGAAATTACAGAATTTCATGATAAAAACTATAGTCCTGCGTCTCTCGCTGAATTCTTCGTGCATTATACAACAGCACAATGAGAAGGCATGCTTGTAATAATGAATAGCGCAAAAAACACGATTATTTTGCCAAAATTGTGAAGAACTATTTCAATCCTGTGATTACTCTGTCATTGTGCACGCGACCTATACTCGCAAGAAGATTTTTATCTTTCTCATCATCTTGTTCATCAATTGCCTCTGGAACTATTCGGAAACGCTGATTTTCGCCCACTCCAGAACGTCGATATAAATTGAAACTCCGCACACTTATCAAGATCCGAAGTTATCGATTAAAATGGTGGATGATGTTTCACCACCAAAAATTCGAAATGTTCCTTCACCAAAAATGCAAATGTTCGTTTATCCTTGGAATAAAAGACACTGCATTGTCTTCCTATGATATGAAAAAAAAAAGTAACATCCAGAGAGACGGTAGTGTCTTGCACCAAGTAATCTCATTGATTAAAGTTTCCGGAGAGGGAGCCTGATAATCCAAATCCAAGGAAGGACAACATTTTCCAGTGTAGATGATTACATGCTCCTTTACCCAGGAGGAGCAAGAAATTTCCGAAAAGGACCCCGCACGAAAACACGGTAAATTGGCTCTCGGTCGAATTGACTGTTTCCGATATAATCAATCGAAACATTTTAAATGATCTTCAACAAAATCTAACACACCTTGTATCATAATGAAAAGCAATATTGAACAACTGGATTCACTATTGAGTTACCTCAGCTTTCATTCAGTCATCAGTGTAAATCAATCCCTTTTTTTGTGATCAAAAACAAGCTGTCAATTGTTTTCCAAAAAGGGTATAACACAAAATTCAAAGAATTCATATTTCGAACAGAGATAGTTAACAAAAATCAAAATACGTTTTCGAAGCCTACAATAGAGTAAAACTAAATTGTCTCATCAAAATATAAATTGTTGTGTTGGATTAGTGCTCGATTTTTTTTTCCGAAAAATTAATTCTTTGACCGTGCCTCGTATTCACCTTGATTTACTATAGTTTATTTGATTATAACTAGACATTTAAACTAAAGGAACAGTTTTTTTCTTCGTCAATCCAACCCCGATACGACGTTTTTACGAACTTTGTCGGCTTATGTCTCAGAAACTAAACATACAAAACTTTTCAAACTCACATATTTTTCTAAAGAGCCATCCCACAATAACATAGTGAAATTTCAGCCAATTCGACCGAGAGCCAATTAACCGTGTTTTCGTGCGGGGTCCTTTGTTACTATACCTAGTAACGAAAGAAAATATAGAATTTAATTGGTAGAGAATATCAGGCGTTTTCAGTAAAATTTCAACTTCAATCTGATATACGTTATGATATAAATTTAAATCTTCCCATTCTTCTCATTCTTCGAAATTCAAAATTATTTTTTTTGTTTCAGTATTAGCAAAAAGTCTGAAGCTTCAGAGGATAAGAGGAGATGATGGAGTCATTGAAGTTCAGTGCATCGCAGAAGGAGTGTTTCCTATGCCACAAATGACTCTGAGTTCTCTAAAGAGGTGAGTGATATAACGGTGACTCGATGACTCTTGACGAAGGAATTAATTGTGTTTCGGGAAGTACACCGAAATGATATGTAGAGATGAGGAGTGTTTGTGATATTATTAACCCACATTTGAGGAGTCTTTTATTCACGTTCAGTAGTCAGAAACTTGACTTTAGTTAGGTATCGGCGTCAGAAGATTAATCTGTTAGGTGCCTCCACTATGTAACATACTGTAGGCAAGGGTTGCCTTAGATGTGCTCTAGATCTATTTAGAGAATGAACTGCGAAGTTATGATAAATGAGACTTAAAATGGTTCCATCAAAACATAATGTACGTTACAATGATACCTTGCACAGAACAATGCGCGAAGTAAAACAGTGCGCGAAGTACCTACTTCGCGCACTGTTATGTAAAATATATGAGATATTTATATTTCAACTTAATGGTCCACAATCGAGCAAACATCCACGAAATCATTTATTACTGAATGTTCAATAAATAACTCCGTTTTATCTCTTGGAGCGCACGAAAGGAAATTCCTATTATGTTCGTGGAACTTCGTGCGTACCTAGGGAGGATAGGGGGAGGCCATTAAAGCCTGTTCAACACTATTTTTTATATCAAGCTGAGCATATTTCCACTTTACAACAATATTTTTTGAGGTTTGTAGAAAAAATGTTGTTTGCAACTCGAGCGCGAAATACTTTGGTCATCTCGACTATTTTTTCAACTCGGCTACGCCTCGTTAAAAAAATCAGATCTCGATCACCAAAGTAGCATTTCGCGCTCTAGATACAAAAATAACTATTTGGAAACATGACAGTGAGAAAGTTCATTGAAGTCAATGTCACGTTTGTGTTCATGGTCCACTGCAACTCGAACGGTCTTTGTTTAATAATTCTGGAATTCGAACACCTATATAAGTGACCGTTCAATGACTTATTCGAACATTAAATGATTTCATCTGAATTCTTAAGACAAATTTCAGCAGCTTCCCAAATCAATATTCATACACAGGATGTTTCATTCAGAATAATCATCCATGAGTGTTTGGGATCACACTTTAAAAGGTAAGTGGGTCGCACAAGTCCCTTGGAGACATCTGAGGGTTGCTCGTGAGGGGGCAACCGACTGATGAATAAGGACAATTTTAAAACAATTTCAGAACTATCAGTCAGTTTAAGTAGAGGAAATAACTAGAATTTCGCAGTCCCTACCATTTATCGATGTATCTGATAATATATGGCTCAACTTTAGTTCTATTGATTTTTAGATGACGTAGAGACATCTTCCTGTAGAACTCACAATGATGCAACTTCGTATCTAAGTATTCTATGTGTTTATTCATCGAATCACTACCTCACCAGTCACATCAACTTCTTAGATTTTATTACAGGGTGAATCTAAGAAGCAAGAATTATAAAATGTTCTAATGAATAACTAACACCCTGTATAAATATGAGATATTGTGTTCACATTTCTTGTGGTGGTATTCCAGCTATGCCTTATAACCCTTGAACGTGAGAAATTCAGGAATTTCTGGTTATACTGTGCGAACGGTCAGCTCATATAGTCGGGGCAAATGGTTCGTGGTTCATTTACTTAACAAATCATGTAACTTGGTCAAAAATATAACAATTGGCAAAAGAAAGATAGTTCCACCAGGTGAGGATTTATTTGGACGCTATCTACAGTAAATGAAGTTCAACAAACCTTTTCCTTGAGCCAATCCCTGTAAAATGATATTGCCTGTACTGAAGGATAGGAAAACAAATCAAACAAATAAAATTTAGATTCATTTACTGACTGAAAAGGATATTCGAAGAAGTATCAAATCTGCATCAAAAACATTCATAATATGTGTCACAAATAATATTGTATGCAACTAGGTATGTATATATTACACAGGGTGTTAAAAAACGTTCTCCTATCATTGAAACATGACACAATGATCATGGGCTTTGAATAAATCTAATCAATGGGAATATTCCCCAGATATAATGCATTACACCTTCACAGATATAGGAATATTCAATAATGATTTTTCAATTGCACTAGATTCCAAAGTGTACTCGATTTCAGATTATGAAAGATTCGATAATAAATGTTTCAACGATCAGTGAATACGTTATAATATGCAGAGTATACCTAATATCAGCAAGACTGTGATTAAGCCAGAAAATGTTGTTAGACCAGAGTTTATTGATATTTTCATGAATTTCATATCCTCATTTTTGGGCTCCAGGTTTCAGATTTCATGGGCATACGAGTCTGGTGAGACGTCAGGTGACCTATATGTATGCTTAGTCCAGCCAGTACGTTGAATTTATGATATCAAGTTGGAAATTATCTATATCTTCTCTCCATGAAGATTGTTTCCTCAAATCATCAGAAATTCTTACTCTTTCGAGTCCATAAAAAGCATTCAGCAAAATAGCTACCTAACCTTCCAAATCTTCAACTAAAAATACTTTCATGACAAGTATATGAAGTGAAGGTGAAGTTTAAAGTGAAAGCAGAAGTAAAAGTACAAGCAAAAGTCTGACAGAACTATAACATAGAACCTTGAGATGATAAAAGTTTGCCAATTAATTTCCTTGAATATGGATCAAGTTCTATGAGAATAATAATTTCGATGAATCGAAAATATTCTCAATAATTGAATATTTACCTCTAATTAGATGTTATTCGCGAGAAGTTTTGATGATCAGAAATGTAATTTACCGGACATCCACATACAAGTTCATTATTTCTGAAAATCTGTTGACAGGTTCCAAATTGAAAGGGAGTGGCTGGTTGAAATCGCAAACACAGTATATTAATATGTAATATAATTAGTTTGTAACAAGAAAATGATTCTATTGTCAATTTAATCATATTTGAACAATTTTGTTCTTGAATCAATAAACTTCGAGCTAGTTACAGATAGATAATATCTAATTATAATGAGTGAATATTTTCTCAAAAGATTCTTATTCTCTTGTGCCAAGAGATTATCATTTTGAAGGAATGAGAAATATAGTTCACTATTAGAGTATTGAGTATTAAATAACATCAATTCTCATAGTTGGTAAACAGAAGGCTTTAATATTAGCACAAGGGTATCCTATCATAACACAACAATAATAATAGTTTATTATGTAACAAGTGTTATAAACGTCCTTTTAGTAACGAGTATTTCACGAGTATCTAGAAGAGTTTATAAACGCGTTACATACTATGCTTTTTCTACGAACTCCGAAAATTACATTAACATACCTGCTATTTCTGCTAACCTACAAAATAATTCGAAAGGAATGGGGATTGAGAACATAATACATGCAACTGCATGTAACCAGCAAGACACGTATAAGTGATATTGGTTGTAGATGTGTCCAGTCCATTGCTTACTAATATTTGTTTCACGTTCATTGTCAAGCATAGCACAGAATAAATAAATTGTTCTCAAAGATGAATGCTTCATTTTTACACTTCTTGGAGATATGCAAGTACCAGAACATTCTCTTCGATTCCACTTTCGTCTACATTTCGCATATATTTTCAACGAAAAATTCTGATACGAACGAATATTGTTTGAATAATTCTGATACAAAATTTCAAAATAACAGTTGACAGTTAAAACAATTGTCAGGCCAGATATGTCTCAAAAACTGAAGCTGTGTTAAAAGAACTGTGTTGCCATGGTAACATTTATTATATGAATCAAAACGTATACATACAGAGTAGAATCATCAAGATATGTGTTAATCTAGCAGGTGAAATATTCATTTTTCTAGATTTTTGTGAGTTGCTGCCCTCGTCTTCTTCCCCAGAATGCCACTGTGCTCGAAATGGCTTGAATGTTGAACCAAAAAAACCTAGAGAACTGAAAACATCATCAATTGAAAAATGTTTTGTGTGTTTTGCAGAGTGACTTGTTAAATGAGAATTAATAACCGTATTGCTATAGAACTTGCTTCAGAAGAAACAACATTCCCAGTCATAACAGCCAGGCATTGTCGAAAACAAACGAAATTTCAAGACAACCAGATATTATCTGGTTACAAGAAATTCTGCGTTTGACAAAAGGGCAAGTACAAAAGTTATTACAGGTATGTAAAAACACAAAGGAAAGAGACATAGTATTCTTCGTTGAATTATTGTAATCAGGAATCGAATAAAAAATTTACAAGAAATAGACAATTACCTACCTATACCTATTAGTGCGTTTATCGAATGAATGCGACTGGTCAAATCGTCACTGCTGAACGAATGTATGTTGTGCAGGTTATACAAACATGGCCATATGCGTTGATCGATATGATCGATATCAAGGTTCTTAGCAAGTTTCTGATGAAATAAGAAGAGAAAACACCTCACTAGGTACAACTATGACAAAAATATATAACGTTCTTACCCCCGCAGATTGTCCTCAAATATAGAAAGCCACATTGCTTGTGAAGATTATACCACACTACTATCATCCATGACTCAGCACACTTGATTCTTGAACACTTCACCATTGAAAAATGAAAGTGCCTAGCACCGTCATCAGAAGGAACAACAGCGGCAATGACGAATGGTGGATAACGACTGAAGAATCGAATGGGCGCAAGCAAACCGCTGTATATACGTCACTGCAAGTGTTTTGGACAAGCAGAGAGTTGCTTGAACCAATATAAATTGGAATTCATGTCACTTGTGGACGCGGTTTCCTTGAATGAAGAAATATACTGTTCATGTTGAGCAAATTCATAGCAAGAAATTCCAAGAAACGAAGCAAGCAAGCTGATTGATCTGAGGCAAGTGTATATTGCTCCATGCAAATGGGAAGTTCTTGTTCGAAACAATTCAATCTCAAGAAAATGGATTTGTTTGATCGGAGAAATCCTCTTTATCTGTGTACGCTCTATGCTGATGGCCAATTACATACAACATGTATTCAATTCATTTATATCCATGGCAACGAATGTCCCAGCGGATGAATTAGGAGAGTTGATTCATTATTGCTAAGTCAACAGGAGAATTCATGC